AGGTCAGAGAGAAAGTGCGCGAGAAGAAGAAGCGGTACCACGCATTTCTTAACGAAAAGACAGCTGATAACTGGCGGAGCTATCAGATAGCGAAGAAAGAGGCAAAGAAGGCCGTTGCTTCCGCAAAAGCAGCTCATTTTGCTGATGTCAACGAAAAACTCGAGTCGCGCGATGGAGAGCGGTACGTTTACCGACTCGCAAAGACCCGCCATCGCCAGACCGAGGATATAGAAAAGTTCTTCGGCATAAATGACGAGAATGGCCACCTTTTGACGGACCGCAAGAAAACATTGAAGCGATGGCACGACTACTTCGAAAACATCTCAACAGTCGAATTTGCTCATCCCGCCATCCCTCTGCTCCGCCAGTACACGGTCCCGTTCAGAAGATAACCGTGGAGGAGACCATAACGGCTATGAAGAAGATGAAATCAGGCAAAGCAACTGGTCCCGACGACTTAGCGGCCGACTTGTGGAAGTCAAGTGCTGGAATCCTGCAGAATGGTTGACGAAGTTCTTCAACCAGATCGTTGCAGAGAAGAAGGTGCCTGAGAGCTGGCAACAGAGCACGACGATTCCCATCTGGAAGAAGAAAGGGCAGTCCTGGAGACTGCACGAGCTACCGTCCAATTCGCCTGCTCTCGCACAGCATGAAAATCTTTGAGCGAATTGTAGACAGTCGTATCCGTGACATCGTCGAGCTGACCACCAACCAGTGTGGTTTTGTGGCTGGCTGCAGCACCATCGATGCCATACACGCCGCTCGCCTTCTGCTAGAAAACATCGCGAAAAACAAAGACCGGTGCATTTGCCTTCCTAGACTTGGAGAAGGCTTTCGATCGCGTTCCGCGTGACGTTATATGGTATGCCTTACGACAGCATGGCGTTCCCGAAGAGCTTATTGAGTGGGTGCGCATCCTTACTCGAGTCCAAAGAGCCGAGTGCAAACGGCAGCAGGCACATCGATGGATTTTCCCATCTCTGTCGGGGTACACCAAGGCTCTGCGCTTATCCCCACTCCTATTTGTTGTCGTCATGGATGCCATTTCAGAGATCTTCAGAAGCCGGCTCCATGGACGCTTCTTTATGCTGATGACGTGATGCTCGCTAGCGAAGATAAAAGCACGCTCGAGCAACAAGGTGCAAACCTGGTCCGACCGTCTGGCTATGTTCGGGCTCAGGTTGAACGTCAAAAAGACTGAGTACTTGACCACCGATTCGAGTGAGCCAGGCTCTATTAAGATCAATGGTACTGAGCTCACACGTACAACAACATTCAAGTATCTTGGATCAGCAATCGCGTCTGACGGCAGCCTGGTTCTGAAACGAATTCTCGCGTGAGTGCAGCCTGGTCGAAATGGCGCTCGATGACTGGCGTTCTCTGCGATAAGAACATACCAGAACGTCTCAAATCTAAGATCTATAGAACCGTCATCCGGCCAGGTCGCGATTTACGGTGCTGAGTGCTGGCCTGCGACTAAAGAAGTCGAAGCCCGTCTCAGTGTGATGGAGACAAGATGCTGCGCTGGACAGCCGGAGTCACACGATAGACCACATTCGAAACGATGTCATCAGAGAGCGATTCGGTGTGGCTCCAATTGTCGACAAGATGCGCGAAGCCCGTCTTCGATGGTACGGTCATGTTCTTCGCGCGAAAGATGACAGTGTCCGTAAGATCAGCTTCAGCCTTGACGTGTCCGGAAACGGCCTAAGGGACGCCCGAAACAGCGCTGGCTCATTAAGGGTAATTATTGGCGCTAATACCTATTTAACAGTACCTATTTTTATCGGCGGCAACATTTGGAGTCATTTAACATGCGCTAACATGAAATGCAAAATTTTGTCATCAGCCGGGACCGATCCCTCGACCGATTTTTCATACCTTTTTTGGCATTAGGAGGGCCGCTCAGAAAAAATGGAGCCTAGTTTTGTACTCCATGCATGTGCCCCTTTATCATGCAAAAAACCGTTTTCAAAAAGGGCTCCATGTCCTGAAAGACTCCTATTCAGAATAGAATTGAGATCTGCCACCTGCCGCCGTTGCACGAGCCTTCAGATGAAGGGGATGGCGCGTGCGGTGGCACGCAACTGAGGCGTGTCAAAATGTTTCCAGGCCTTCTGCTCTGCTTTCTTCAGGGAATCAAAGTTTTGTGGGGCATTATTTGCGCTTGCATCCAGGGTGTGAAATACAGAAATCTAGAGCTATTAGGTGGAAGGTTCCATTGTAACAATTCTTCGAAAGCAACGAACTCGAAAAATCGCTTTTTAGAGGAATTTTTGCTTTATTCTTGGGTGCTCGGTCCTGTAAAAAGTCCCAAGTAGACTACTCGAGTGGCTTTCTATCCACTACAGATGTGGAGTCTTTAGAGTGTCTGGCTGGGTTTTCACATCAATTTTTTCATTTTGGGTGTACGAAAGTCGACAAGGGGAGACCTAGTTTCTGCATCTGATAATTATCCTGGTGGTAACTGTAACTTTCGAGTCCCGAATTTTCCATCTGTGGTGGTTCCAAACTTATTGAAGAGTTGAACTGTTGCTCATAAGAGCTTCCTGATAGGTTAGACTGCTGCTAGATGTAACGTGCCAGAGCCCCTAGTGAGTTCAATTTGAGGACTGACTAAGGTGATGTAGTTATCCTCACTAGTTTGAAAACTGCATACTTGATTTAAATGAAGAAGACTTTGCACCCTTCCATAGTACATGTATGAAAATGGAGCGACTTGAAAAAAGTGGATATGTTCGCGCGCACGCGGTCCTCATTATTTTGGTCCATCCTATATATCGTTAACTGGTTTCATATTTAGGCCGCATAAAGTTTTAAACGACTCTAGAGGGTTGTCGACGAAGTATTAGATCTGCTTGGTGTTGCTCATCAGGCTGTTGATTTTTTTAATGGATTATAAGTTTTTAGTATCATTTGAGTTTTGCCTGCAATATGGTAATACGTGAGAAATTTCAGTGAAATATTCTTCATTCTTAACACATTGACGACAACGCGGGGGATATATATCCCGCGCATTGCAGGCCCGTGCGGGATATATATCCCCCGCACCCATTACACTCATTTTTTTCGCGCACGCCTGATTCTTTTAGAAGTTTCTTGTATTCATTCCATGGAAGAGACCTTGACGTAGCTACAAACATAGTGGCCCTTAGAATGGTCACGTATGCTTTAATTTAGAGGAGGATTTCTGAACCATACGAAATCTTCATTTCAATAAATTTTTCGTTTACTTTTTCTTTTTATGATGTGAAAGATTTAAATAGTAGTAGAAGTAGATACGGAACCTTAGGGATGACAATATGTGTGTTTTGATTGGAATAATCAACGTAAAATTGCTTTTGAGGTCCATTGCAGCTAGTTCTGAAATTTCATTGTTCATTCATGTCTTTCGATCGAAATTCCACTACTGTACCCCTGGTAGGTTGTGCTCATTACAATTTACTGATTTGGTTTTGAATTGATCATTAGTTGTGTATTTATCACTCAAAATCTGCTTGAACGACCTGAGGCGAGCGCGCCCGCAAAATCGCCGCGGTCCCACGTGGCCAAAAAAGCCAAAACTCGCGTTGTCGTCAATGTGTTAACTACCCCTCATGTAGAACAAGGATATGCTGATTTCAAGGGAAAGATGCGTTTCCAAATCATATCTAAATTTGAACTAATTTGACAGAGCGTAAAGAAAGATACGGCCGAAGAAGTATTTGGCCGAATACTCCTGAGCGCCCTGTACATGTATATTATGTATGT